GAGAACCATTGTCTGAGTCTAGCCCCTGTTTGAGAACGATTGTCTGAGTCTAGCCTTTGTGTTGCTCCATGGTGAGGGTGTCTCCTCCATAGCTGATACCAGAGCCCCAGAGGCTCTAAGGCCTCAAGTGGAATTTGAACAAAACCCACCTTCTTTTAAACCTTGTCCTTCTTTGGAAGCACAGCAGATGGTGACTCTGATTGCTACACCACACTATGAAGCGACCCTATGGGACAGAGTTTCGTGTGGGAACATTACAGGTAGCCTATCAGCTACACTCTTTATCTGGGGCCACCGATCTCTCATCCAATCAGGGAAAGCCAAAGAAACAACCGTCAACCGTGTTCTTTCCCCGTGGCTTCAAGACTGCCCTCTGTGCTCCCTTTATTCTCTTCTCTCAGTGGCTTCTCACCAAAGGCCGAGCGCAGGCATGAGAAGACTCACTAGAGAATCCCTGGACTTTGGGTCAGACAGAACCAGACCTGCAGCCCAGTGACCTTGCTGTTAGCACGTATCTGAGGTCAAGGTGGGTGCATGTCCAGGTTCTGATTAACTTCCAACAATTAACAATTCGTTGCTGTCAAGTTGATTCCAATGCTTAGTGGCCCAATAGGACTGAGATGGCGGGGACAGGCTGAAATGGCTTCCTGATGGGAGATCTGGGTTCTGGTCACCTGGGTGACCTTGGCAAGTACTAACTAGTCTCCGAGTCTCTCTTCATCTGTAAATTGGGATAATTATATCTCTGTTCATCTCATCGTATACTAGGAAGATCAATTGAAGTGCCTAGAGAATGCCCATTGTATGACATAGAGCATGACCTGCCAATAAGGCCCATGATAATTTAGATTGAAAATGTAGGGGCATGTAAGCCTTCCTTAAAAAGCTTGTGTGAGGTGAGCAAACACAGATTTGGTGGTTAGCTGGGCCTAGATCTGGTCCTTTGAAGAGGTCTCAGCTCGAACACTCTGTACTCAGTGAGTCACTTACTCTCTCCCAGCCCGGCTTTCTTCTCTGTACAGCGGGGTCAGTAAGGGATTAATGTGAATGTTAGACAACGTGAGATCACAGGAACAACCTTTCAAAAGCTGGAAATTAAAATGCAAAAAGGATACAACTGGGCAATTTGAAATAAAAGAAAGCTGGGATGGTAGTTTTGATCTTAGAATGCTGTTGATGTTGTTAGGTTCTCTCAATCAATCCCAACTCATAGTGACGGAGGCAACCGCTGCCGACGCCGGCACCATCTTCACAATGGTGGTGTGGGGAGCACATTGTTGCAGCCGCACGCCAGTCCGTCTCCTTGAGGGTCTTCCTTGTTTTCACTGGCTCTCTGTAAGCATGCTGTCCTTTTCCAGGGACT